TGTTATAACCGTATGGATACAGCTTTTTTTCCAACTGTGCACAGAAATGATTGTACGTAAGTGGAAAGGATGTTTTATGCAATTGGGATTAAGATTTATCAAGTCAATGTATACTCTCTAGAGAACATGTAAAGCATATCTTGCTACCGCCTGTAAATTGTGATTGAATTATATGGTTCTATTTCTGTAACAATTTGATGACGTCTGTAAACTGGCGTCCCTCATGTGCTGTACTATGAGAATAAATTTATTTACGCGCGCTCCTTGAATACGACGTGCTTTCTCCTCTCCAACCGGAAAATACCAATTCTGTGAATTATCCGTTTGGGAAACCTGATCTTCCTAGCCGGTGAATTAAATTCAACCATTACTTACATGATAAATCTCTGTGTGGTAAGTCCAGCTGTCTCGAACTACTGCCAAAGTTTCAGGTGCTACTTTTGCACCAGCTGCTAGCATCTTCCTCACTCGTTCAGATAAACAAGACTTGTTGGTTTACCACGTGACTGCCGTGAAGCCGATCATTCAGAAAGTACTAGGTAAAGTCGAAAACCTTTTCTTTTCCTTGCCTTATACTTTTTCAGTCCTATTCTTGTTCTTTTGGATAGAAACTGTTGCCTTCCACCTCTATGGTGGTACACGGTGTTCCGGAGCTGGAAACCGGCACTGCTTGTGAAAAACACATGCACGACATACAGCAATGGAGATGGCTGTTATCTCAGATGGCCCTTGGCGCTTCTGGAGCCATCTCCATTTTCCGACTACCTCGTCCCGCTCATCTAACACTAATTAACTCTCCAAAGCTGTTATGTGTCACATTCAACTCCCCGGAGCAGTTGTCCATATCACTTCAACGGTGGTATGAGACCAAGGGAAAAATTGGAGGACACATCCGATGCTGTGAAAGCAGACCCCGAAATATAAGGAGGCAGCAAACTGAGGCTTTAATACGACCCCAAGCTTCGGTGACACTAGAGCGATGCAGCTCTGAGAATAATAGTCTGTGTCTCCCAAGTGTCCTGCCTAAATCCATTGAAAAAAACTACAACGGGCCGGTTCTATCGGAATCGGCCAACTAGTTCCAACATCAAGTCCCCCACCAGCAGAGAGTTTCACGTCAACTACCCCACAACACTCTGAGGTTGTTAGACTCACTGTCAGTTGCCTATATAGCAATGTGAGGGGGCTGAGAGGAAAAGTAGGTGAACTCCGAAATCTCCAAGCACACCTTCAACTGAAAATAATCATTCTCACTGAAACGTGGCTAAACCCCACTATCGCCGACAATGAAATCAGTATAGGTGATATGGTACTGGTCAGGAGAGACAGGGATAATAAGGAAGGAGGGCTATATACTTTGATAGGCAACTTAAATGTGTGCGCGCAACGGACCCACCACTTATCGAACTCCCAGACTCCATATGGTGTCATTTCACCGTAGGCCACACCAAGCACTTACTGGGTGGCATCTACCGATCTCCCACCTGTGGGGCAGAGCACAATCAGCTACTGCTCAGCACTATCACAGGAATACGAGATTTGGGCTACGACCAAATCACCATAGCTGGAGATTTCAATGCTCCATCACTGAACCTCGGCTCCGGGTGTGCTAAGGGAAAATTTGGCCGAAACCTACTGCAAACTATTCGAAACACGGGACTGACTGAGAATGTTGGAGACGACACTAGGTGGGGCCCTAGTGGAAAGTCATCAAAACTAGATTATATTCTAACTAGTGACCAGCTACTCGTCGAAAAGGTCCAGATCATGACTCCTCTGGGAAGCAGTGACCATGCAGTCATAGGTTTCGATCTTGTCCTCCGTGAGCGTTTGCAATGGGATGTTACGCGACCATGTCTGTGCTACAGCAAGGCTGACTATGCTGAAATGCGGAGGCTCTTGTCCGACGCAGACTGGCCCTTAGCATGGGACGACCTATCTGTGGATGAACACTGGGAAGTGGTAAAAAAGATTATCCATATAGCAATCTCGGATACCGTCCCTTTAGTCACAACACAGCCCAAGAGAAAGACGTCATGGTTGAAGAGAGGCACGCAACGTATTCTGCAAGCAAAGCGGAAGGCTTGGTTTACGTGGCGTGTATCTAAGAGTCAGACCGACCATGATGCATACCTCGAACTCAGGAACCGGTGTAATGCAAGAGTCAGGAGGGACAGAAGGTCATTCCAGGCTAACCTTGCTAAAAAACTCCTATCAAACCCTAAAAACTTGTACCGATTCATGTCGGAAAGAAAACCGACAAACCAAGGGGCATGCGCCTTAGTAGGCCCAAACGGTCAATATCTCACTAGTCTGGAGATGGCTGAAACATTCAGTTCAGCCTTCGCTAAACAGCTAAACAGCAATGTGGATATTACAGTTACGGACCAAAATGGTGGCACCACTATTTCAGAGGAGGAAGACCTAGCGACTACTCCCCAAATAAACCCCGCAATAGTACTAAGGAAGCTACAGCGACTCATACCTGGGAAGTCCCCAGGTTGTGATGACATCAGGCCATCTGTTCTGAAACAGTGCGCCGAGGCTCTCTGTAGACCCCTGTGCGACTTGTTCCAACACTCAATGGATTCGGGGACCCTGCCAAGGGAGTGGAAAAGAGCCATCCTTTCTCCAATCTTCAAGGGTGGGGACAGGCAAAACGCTGCTAGCTATAGACCAGTAGCTCTACTCCCAGTGGTATCAAAAGTACTGGAAAGTATTATTGACGACCACATCAGGGAATATTTCGATAGGACTAATATACTACATGAAGCCCAACATGGTTTCAGAAAAGGCAGATCCTGCGTCACTAACCTACTGTCAGCTTGGGACGACTGGACATCATGCTGGGACTTGAACGTACCAGTCCATGTGGTCTTCCTAGACTTTGAGAAGGCATTTGACACTGTTCACCATGACCTTCTCCTACATAAAATAAGCCAGGCAGGCATAGGTGAGCCACTTCTGTCATGGTTGAAGGACTACCTAGCCGACAGGCAATTTTGCACTAAGGTTAACCGAGTCCGATCATCTTGGCACAGATCGTCGCAGGGTTCTATCCTAGGACCACTGATGTTTTTGATTTTCATCAATGATCTACCACGCCGTCTGAGCTGCCCGACTCTCCTGTACGCTGACGACGTAAAAATATGGAGGGCGATAAAGTGTCCGGAGGACTCAGATAGGCTACAGGAAGACCTAAACCTTCTGGAAGACTGGGCGGTGGCCAGTGGCATGACTTTCAACTTGAAAAAGTGCAAAGTAGTGAAGTTGCGCACCTGTAGACTGCAGAATGCAAGTTACACCCTGTGCAATGAAAGCTTGTCCTGCACAACGTCGGAACGCGACTTAGGTCTAGTTCTAACGGAAAAAATGGACACAAGCGTAAATTACACAGGGGATGTAGCGAGGGCATATGCGGTCATACACTTTACGCATAGACAGTTAGGTGCACTCACTCCTGAGCTCTTTCTAATGTTGTACAAAACATACGTCAGGCCACACCTTGAGGTGCATAATATTATTGCACCCCCAATGCTGAGAAGAGATGCCAACCTCTTGGAAAGAGTCCAACGACGGGCAACAAAAGGAGTGGTTGGTCTCCGAAACAAACCATATGATGAAAGGCTGAAGAAATTAGGCCTGTTCACACTTAGTTACCGTCGGCTTAGGGGGGATTTGATTACTGCCTACAAAATAACAAATGACCAGAATCACCCAAACAAAGGTGTTCTGCCATTGAGTAGGTATAGGCTTCCACGTGGAAATCCCAGAAGGATAGCTCACCAGAGGGCAAGGACCCGGGTGCGCTCCCACTTCTTTTCACTGCGGGTTTGTCGTCCCTGGAATTCCTTACCGGCAGATGTAGCTATGGCACCGTCTTTGGACGCCTTTAAGCGAAGGCTGGACAACCATGCAGCGATACAAGGACTGCATCCAAATGGCCTATCTCCTTAAAATCGCATACACCAATCAGGGATAGATAATTAAACTCGTCGTTTTACTTCTTTACATTCTCTCCCGTCTTACTCTCCTGGCAACTTATTAATATTATAATAATTATTATTATTGTGCGTCGGTTGCACAGTGGTTAGGACTCTCGCTGACCATGCACATGGTCCGAGGTTCGAGCCCACGCCGACGCACACCTGATATCTATGGTCGGCCTGCAAAATTTGTGCTACCGATATCGATGCTGAAAATTCCATACTTGTACCAAAAATACAGTGTGGAATCAAGCTGTAATCAAAAAAAAATAATAATAATTACCGATATATATATATATATATATATATATTATTCTTCAAACTTAATGAGCTGACTGTTGTTACGCTTTCCTAATTCCGTTTCTGTCTCTTAGTCTGAATAACTTCACTAATTATATCTATCATTATTATTACTATCTCTTTTCTCTTGTCGACGATACCGAAGAACTAACTGGAGAAAGGATCAACTCCAATCACAGTAGTAACTGTCTTAACATACCTCATACTACAAACCACATATAATTAATCCCAGCACTACTCCCTTTGGAGTCAACCAAAGCTACGACAGTCGAGTGGCGGGACAAGCTACGCAGAAGTTTACCGAAGATCAGGAACCTATACCTTACAATCAAGAAGCGAGCACAAAGAGATCAAATTGGTTTATACTAACTCGTAAAAACGATATTGGATATCCTCCACCACGCTGGCAATGTCTATTTGCATGGTTTCTACATAATATACACTAAATGTAGTTGTCATTCTTACCTCCTTTTTCGACCACATCAGATCAGTTCCAGTCACAGCAGTGACACAGAGTTAACGCACCACATACTGCAAACCACATGTAACCTATCCCCGCACTACTCCCTTTGGAGTCAACCACAACTTCGACATTCGAGTAATGAGACACACTGCACAGAAATTCACCAAAAATCAGGAGATTTTACCTTACAGCAGAGAAGAGAGTACAAAGATAGCAATTTGGTTTACTACGGCTAGTGAGAACGATATTTTAGATAGGAGAGCCTCTCGCAATGACCTTGAAATAGGAACTTTTTCAAATGTGGTTGTTTATTATTGTTGACACTGCTTCTGCTTGTGGTTAGAACTACATTCCTGGAATTATTTCCGTGTAAGCTCCTCATGAAATATTTGCAGAAATTTTGAAATTTCATTAGAAAACCTTAACCCATCACCGTGTCATTTATGAAACAACTTCCTATAAAAATTCCTGCAAATCTTCAGTAACCTTTAGTGAATTTACTATGCACAAAGGCAAGGTTATACTTATTCCAGGATTGCCTGGATGGGGGCTGACAAATGGATACTGGGAAAGTGCTTTAGATACTTCTATTTGTCCAGGAAATCTCTCAATATTGACTGCTAATCCAAGCCCAGTAGCCTCTCATCATGACAGAGCATGTGAAGTGTTTGCACAACTTACCGGGACAGTTGTAGATTATGGACAAGAACATTCCAAGAGTTTCAAACATTCTAGATGGGGTAATGATTACAGCGGAAGGTCAGCACTCTTTCCCGAATGGGGAAGTTCAAGTCCTGTTCATTTTATATGCCATTCTGGAGCCGTGAATACCGTCAGAGTGCTTCAGAAACTTCTCGAAATCGATTTCTGGAACAGAAGAACCAGCGCTGAATGGATTCTGTCAGTTACTTCGATCAATGGTGCACTAAACGAAAGCGCCCTTTCTGAAGTTATTAATCGTGAAGTAATTCACTTGGTAAGCAGAAATTTCCTCTGCGAACAGTGTAAAAACCAAGGTTGTTCCTTTTGCCTTGGAATAAGAGTTCAAAAAGCGGCGAAAATACTTTGTCGATCTGTTATATGGGCAGCGACGTCAAAATTAAAACTAGACTTTCAGCAGATACGTCTGGCATTGAATTGGCCTACGGATCACTGGATACATGACGATAGCGACAACAAAGAATCACTTTCGACTGAGGAAGTTGTAGACAGGCTTAAGTCGAGCTTAAAATGTGGGATGTTTAGTTCAGGTGACAACATAATTTATGATCAAACACTAGAAGGTATTAACAAACTCGAAGAATTTTTCGGTTCTTCATCAAAAGTTGGTCATCCTTTGGAACACTCACCGAAGTTTGTTCATGACAAGACATTTTACCTTTGTTTATTCTCCAGTGCGACCACGTCATCCACTCTTTGCATCCCACCGGAAATGTCTCCCATCTTATGGCCATTTTCTGCCATTCTTCTGGACAAAAACAGAAGTGATAGACTGGAAGAAAGTACCAAGATTGTTATTCACAAAATTCACTCTATTAGTAATAGTGTAGATCCCATCAGAGACAATGACGGCATGGTCACAGTAATTAATCAGTGTGTACCACGGGGAGCTGAGTCACTAGTCGAAGTGTTTCCAGAAAAAGCTGGATGGATGTCAAAAAACGCTAACTTACGACCAGGAGTATGGTATATTGATATCGTTAACAAATGGATAGACGAAATAGACGAAGTTGCCTGCAGATCGGAGGCAGGTAGTGAAAGTATAGGCGCGCATATTGTTTCTGGAGATCAGAAACGCAAAATTTTGTGGGACCATTTTGATGCCTGCTGGTCAAGAACTTTGCTTAAACCAACTCACGACCAAGTACCTCTTGATTTTCAAAGGTCACTTTATCGTAATTTATTTTTATATATTTCTTCTGTACAAATGCTTTTTGAGAGTTCACTCAAGTAAAGTGAGTTGCTTTTCATTTAATTAAAAACATATCATAATATGCAAGTATACGTTTTGTTGTAAGCCTATCAGATAACAATTGAAGTCCTGGGCGTTCTAGGTTAGACAAACTCTAGCTTCACTTCTGCTTATTTTGTGCTGACAAGGATTGAATGAATTTTTCAAGCATTCTAAAATGTATAACTGTATTTTGTGACTTTAAGGAATGTGAAGATTTTCCTTCTCAGATGGTTACAGGTTGCATTCGTTAACTTTGTCTAAGAAAGCCTGTTTTCAATCGAGTTATACCCGATAAAGAAATTTTCAAGAATTTGTGTTGTATACTTGAAGCCATAGAAACCTCCTCGCATCTGCACAGTACTGTAACTTTCTTGTCTTGTGTATTTGACTTTACTGTTGGTACTTCATTTTGAGTTGAGTATCCAGTTAATCGAAAGACAACGTGATAATTTGATGCATTTTAGGAGAGTGTAAACATCAGCATATGCCTAATACTACTAGGTAAATGAATGAAAAGTGAGTATAATGGGGTTCCGATTTGGCGATCACTAGCTAAACACGATGTGTTCAGAACAGTGGATTCAAATAATGTTTTGAGTCAAAGATTTATGAACTTTATATTGCTACATTCACTTTGCACAGTAAGACCGAGTCATTACAAGAGCTGTCAGGGAATTCATGTAATTATTAATAACAATATAACTGCTTTAAATATAGCTTATGAATCCAGAATAACTATTGCAATCACAATATTGATTCCGCACTGTTTGGTTATATTTTGTCTATTTCACTTTTCTATCTTTCATAATGGCAATGTTTTACGTTCCAGGTATTTTTCTCTGAATATGAAATAAGTTCTCAAATATATATATATATATATATATCTGTAACATGTTCGGTAGCATGTTGTGCGTTAAATATTTACTCATCTGTTTGAGTCATCTTACTGTCCACGGAACTTCGATTTTATTCTCCAGCTTTCATTAGACATTAGCTGTCTTAGACACTTTGTCCTTCCACTGGGAAAGCTTATCTAGACGCGTGTAATGTACATACTCATGAACTGTTAATTGAATGCTTAATCATACGAATACACATTTGACTGTAAATCAGAAACATCTGAGTATTGGTGTATTAGCGGATTATTTTAGGACCTATTATTTTTCCGCAGATAAGGGTACTGAAAACTAGCACCATTTTCAAAGTAAAATTTTAGAACATAACTTCCTCAGCATTGCTTTATTGCTTTTTTGTTTCTAAGGGACACATTTGAATGGTTTTATAAGTATTGGTTAAATTTGACCAGTTTAGATTTTCCTTATCACTTTATATCAGCATTACTACTGTAAGTTCTTACAAAACATCAGTTTTCCTTCATGAGACCAGTTAGCCAAAGGTACCTAGGCAAAAAACATATTTTCTATAAAACGTCATTGTTAATTTGTTATATGAGTTTACTAAAGCTGATAAAAAATCAAAATTAGTCTCTCTGGTAAATTCAACTCCTACACAAAGCTGAAATAATTAACTACTTCTTATTTTGATAACCATGAAAAACGTAGAATATATCGAAGATAAGGATGTCCGGACAAAGCTGCAGAAAAGCGCATAGCCCTACAAAAATTCAGTTGTAAACTGGTTAGCAATTTCAACCTATGAAGATAAGAAGTTCCGGTAGCGATGCTTTACAACTAGAAGTTTTGTTGTATGCCATCTAGTGCCTTTAATGACTAATATTTAGAGTCTCAAAGGAACTACACAGCACAAATCAAATTTTCCTAAGAAATCTGATTTAGTAATATCCAATAAAATTAATTTTTGGACCGCTATTAACTAACTTTTTGCTGTAATTTTGATCTGTCACATTTTTGGATCTTATTTTGTTGTAAAAACACAGGAAAAGAAGTGAAAACTCATGAACACTTTGGATTGAAAATCCAGGAACTAGGTTGCGTGCTTATTAACATTCACCAGCATTATGTATCTGCAACCGCAAAAGAATTGATGTTCCCTTAGAGATTTGAGTTTACGTCACCTAGTGCAGCAGTTTGAGACGTTATTTATTGTAATTAACTGGCTGTATAACTGTAATGGGCTTACTGTCGATTACTTTAAACCATCTAACATTAATTCAAAAAGTATACCGATACAATGAACCTCATAGATTTGCGACCATATTGCCGGTCGACTGATATACTTCAGTTAGCATCATTTAAGACTACATACATGGTGCCAATAAATAGAACTTTGTTTTTATTTGGATACTTTATGAGGCGAGATTAAAATAACTTTTCTTATTTTTATATATGCAACAAGCAACATTTTGTAGGTAAGATGACTGTGGAGGTTAGAATTAGCTTAAATAATATATGGAGATGACGAATTACTCCACCGTAAACTTCTTAATGCATTTGATCGTTATATCTATTGTCTGTTTACATTATACTGTAATTCAGGATGTGGATTCTTCAGATTCTTTTTTAAACACTTTTCTGTCAGGCCATCGAATCTTTGTATTCAGATCATTTTAAGGTTTTAAAGATATTCTTACACAATTTTTAATGATTGTGAATAGCTCGTTTTCAAATGAATACATTTTGAGTGAAATCTCTACAAAAATGTTTTAAAAGAAGATGGTCATTTTACCCACTACTTTCACTTTTTTCAGCATCCAAAGAATCCATAAAGTTTACTAGGAAACAAACATATTATGGTAATAACCTGGAATTTCTTTATTTAGTTATTTTAATTGTAAGAACTGTATACATTTTGTAGTCTTAGCTGTTCTGTCTTGTTCTGTATAGAAATTAAGCTAAGCATTTAAGAAAAATTTGTTTTTGTGACATATTGTCATGAAAGCGGTTATTCATTCGAAAACAGTTTAGGGCTAAGGAAGATGAATAAACATTCAGGTCGTCAATTTTTTTCTACCCAAAAGTATACTGCATCATACTAACAAGGTGGAAAACAACTGTGAAAATGTAGTCACATAGTTCTATACAACTAAATGTTTTTATAATTGCTTTCATATGTAGCTACTTTTTTATATCCTTTTACGAGTTGATCACGGATTGATATCAGTTAGAGAACGATTGAAAACCAGGGAGTACTGGACAGCTGCTGTTTCATCCTAGTTTGGGACCGTCGGCAGTACGCACCCACTGGGATTTGAACTCAGGACCTTCCGGTTACAAGGCAAGCTCGTATACTATTCAGCCACTGGGACCCGATTCAATGGCTCATGAATTCCAACTTCTACCAACTCGTGATTTAGCGCGACCCCAACCATTGTCGTTGGTGGGACATCCATCCACACACGTGACATCTAATTGAACTTCACTGGTCACGACTTCTCACTACAACTCCAGGAAACTCCAACCTGTAGCAAGTCACTAGCGAGCATCAGATTAATTTTCTATAGTTTGGTTTGTAAGGGTTTGTTATGTTTTTACGAGTTGACCACGGATTGATATCAGTTAGAGAAGAATTCATGAGTCATTAAACCGGGTCCCAGTGGCTGAATAGTATACGAGCTTGCCTTGTAACCGGAAGGTCCTGGATTCGAGTCCAAGTGGGTGCGTACTGACGATGAATCCCAAACTAGGATGAAACAGCAGCTGTCCAGTACTCTCTGGTTTTTAATGGTTCTCTAACTGATATTGATCTTGAAACAAATCTTTAATGTATTGATTTATTCATTTGAATGTCAATTAGACTTTTCTATTTGATTTGATTTTGATTATAGCTTGTGCGTCGGTGACACAGCGGTTAGGATGCTCGCCGATCATGTACATGGTCCGGGGTTCGATCCCCGGCCGCTGACGCATTCATTTACCTTGCTGAGTCAGAAATGATCCTGGTAAAGAGGAAAGGTTGGGCATGAGATTGGCAACCCCATCCTGTGAAATTAAACACTGCTACATAAACTTCAAGCCACTAGCTTGAGGTCCTATGTTCCACTGGGAACGTGAAGGAAAAAAAAGAAATTAAATAGCTTGAAACCACACAGTATTTTTGGTACAAGTATGGAATTTTCAGTATGTGATATCGATAGCCAAAAGTTTACAGGCTGACCATAGATACCAGGTGTGTGTCGGCAGTGGGTCGAACCCCAGACCATGTGTATGGTCGGTGAGAGTCCCAACCGCTGTGTCACCGTCGCAGTTTAAAATATCTCTAATATTCTGTTTTTCATATTTCAGCAACTTGACACAATTAGAAGACCAATATCAACAATTTACTTGAGGAATAGCATCACTATTGAAGTAGCGTTGATTTACAATACTCTTTGTTTTATTAATCAGTCTTAGAGAAACGAAACGTTTTGTGCATCATATTTGGTTTTAACTTCAGCAATCTATTGTTTAAGCCATATTTGTCAAGTAACACTATGATAGGCTGATGATTGTGAAATAAAACTAATCCAATCTTGTTGATATCACAACAGTTTGTTATCAGAGTTTTATGTTAATGTTCAAACAGTAGACTTCTCAGTTGTATCTACTATACTTGAAATAATTCAAGTGAAAATACACTCACCATCCGATTGTATATACTAAATGTGACGAAACAGAGTAATTTCTAAATTTAAGGTGAATAATTGTGTCAAATAATAACTACTTTATGCATTCTGTAATATTGCAACAGTTCTGAGTGTAGTCATTAAATGCCTCGCTAGCTTAACATAATATTTCAGAATCTCCAGTTTAAGTATACTATACTGAAGGGCGAAGAATCGTAGAGTACGCTTTATAATCACAGAAATATGGTCCAAGTGTGGCCTTCGGTTGGCAGACTACTATTGGTGTATGCTAAGGGGAGATTGAAGGTAAAAATGAAAAATCAGGATCTAGGCTTGATTTGAACTAAAAGCTTTCGGATAACTGCCCTTTGAGCTCTACTAGCTGACTTACAAGGTCCAACAGTTCACCAGGTTACTAGCTAACTGTGCCTGCTTAGTAATTCCTATTCTGCTGGTTTGAAATCTGCTCCGAGCCACATTTTTTATTTCACCGTCAATTCTCATTCACTATGTCTTTCATAAACTAGTTATCAAAGGTAGATAATCGTAACATGAGCTTTAGATTTATTTGAAATGCTTTCAGAAAGATGATGAGTAGTTTTTTTAAAAAAAACATAAGACAGGCTGATTAAAACAATAAAAGAGGATATTTTCACCTCTGGTTTTTAGACACACACTTAACATTTCATGCACTTAAAGAATAATTGATTTGTTATTGTTAAAAGAAAAATAATTCATCTATTTCTTCATCGTTTTTTTAAAACTACTTGCTTAATTATTTAATGCCTGGTGTGACTTTTGCCTTAAATAATAACAAGAGAGATATTCATTATAAGCCACACTATTATTGATTGTTTTATGGTAACTAATAGAAACTAATCTGTGTATAACCAGGTCGCTTAATATCATAGTGATACACAGAGATTTTCTAAAGGATGAGGTAGGCAAATGTGATTGTATTATTGGTCATTCTATGAACTGGTAAATAAATATTCTTATAATTGAATGTATTTTAATTCCATCGATTATTCATGAATGCATTAGTTAGCCAATCAACAATAAGTATCAATTAATGCTAGACTATGCCTTTGAATATTTTCCATTTGTTTTAGATATATTTATTCAATTAATTGACTAGATTTCTGCCCTTTTAGTAAACAACTATTTTACTAATAGATGGGATGCTGTATGAAGAAATGGTTGGTTAAAAAATAGCCTGAACTGTCAAATGTTGACAACATGTTACACGATCTCAACATCCTTGAAGTACAATGTGTTCAACATTGCCTTTGAGTGTGTAATTAAAG